AACTTGTTTTTGGAAAACATTAGGCTTCTGAAGTGTGTACCAGGTATTACAGATGCTGCTGTTCTCCATGTGAAATCTGTGAAGTATTTTCTGCTATACATTCCAATTTCTCATCAATTAGTAATGAAATTTGTGCTTTGCAAACTGATTAGTGTTGTGCCTTCCTTTATGCAATTTGGTTTCAAGCTTCTTAAGCTTGGATCACTGTTGAGGAAACAAATGATGCTTGGGAGATGATGCAGTGAAAGCTGGGAATGTTTTTTCTACACTGAATTCCACTCATGAAATTACTGAAATTCTACTTTACTGTGATAGCTTGCAGTTTTGATGACTGAAGTGTTGCTTATTTAGAAGCCTGAGTAAAAACTCCCACTGCTAATTGAGCCACTAATGGCTCATGGTGGAGATGGCTGGCATAATTCTCTGCTTGTATTTTCTCAGCAATTCAGATTATCAGGAAGCATCTTGTATGTGATTTTAATCAATCTGTTTTGAATGACTTCAGCAGCCTACGATGCTTCTTCCAGTTGTTTCTAGTGAATGTGTTACTGTGCCATATCTGCTGTGTATGTGGCTCTCATCTGATAATAAAATCCTTTGCATTGTGCACCATGTTAATATGTATTTCTTACATTTATAATTACAGTTCCAATAGGGCTTTTGTGCTCCTTACTGTGCCAGAAGCAAATGTCTGGCTGGCAGTGACCGCTGAACTCCCATGCAGTCATTCAGGATTTGCAGTTTTAATGAATTTTGGAAAGGGAACTGTCAAGCCTAATCATATTTTTTCTAGAACTGAAAGAATTTTTAAACATCACCAAAGCATAATACAATCTCAGCCTCTAGATAGTGTCGTTTTTACTTTGGGGAAGTTGCTTAAGCAAAGCAGATTTAATTTTACCATATGGAATTTGGTTGCTAAAGCAATTAAGTTTGCTGTGCACACCAGCCAGAGTTCCCTAGGTGAAAGCTCCAGCCACCTTACAGCATTTCCCTTCTGTTTCTGTCCACGTTGGTCTTTGTTTTACTTTAGCATCTGCCTTGCACACCAAGGTGATTACTTGCCTATATGTTTATTCTTTAACAGGCTTTTTGGGTCTGTGCTTTGCTGAGTAATACATTCAGCATCCGTGGTGGTTAGAGGACTGATAGCAGCACTGTTAAGGACTCAGCATGAAGGGTGCTTGCTTATTTCATAAAATACAGCATTTCGAAGAATAGGTGTAGCTAGCAAGACAATAGCTAAATTTTTTCTTTAATTTCTCTGTTCTGAGCTTGCACTGGAAATAGTTTGTTTGCTTTTCATAATGACCTCGCAGTGAAGTTCTTCTGTAACGCTGAATGGTGTTGGGAGCTGGTAAAACACACTCTCACAATAGCTGTACTTCAGTTAGCAATTTGTACAAACCTTCTCTGTAGTGCAAAAACTCAATAGTAAATGTGGTCTGTGAAGAGAAAACATTGTCCAACTTAATGCATGAATTTGGCAGAAGACAGTCATAAATGAACTTTATTTGGAAACATCTGTTTATCACGTGGCAACATGGAGGTTCCCCTGCTAGATATGGGCAGTTCAAAGCTATGATTTAATTCTGTCAAACTTTTAGCAACCAATCTGTGTTCCACAGATACTTGTGTATGTCTAAGGATTGCACAGGTTGCTAATGCAAAGTCCTAAAGCAGAATTCTGTTAAGTGCAAATATTCTTCTGTGTATTTTACACATGACACTGGAAAATCAGTATTGTTGAAACATCTGCAAATTCTCTCCCTTGTATAAGAACTAGTGGAATAAAATACACTTTTTCTGATGTCCCAGATGATCCACAACTTGCAGAGAGGAGACTTGGTATACCAACATTCCTTTACTGATGTTATTCTAGGGCTTTTAAAATTTTGAAAGAAACCCTCAGAAAGAAAAGCCAAGTAAACTGTTCCTGTAGTCATTTATCATAAGACTTCTGATGTGATGCTTATTGGTTAGAATAATTCTTCCTGTTCCTGTTATCTGCTTCTGCTTACTTATTATTCTTAACCTCAGCTATAGCGTATCTTGATTTGAGGGCTGAGCTAATGCTTTACCAGTGTTATGTTGATGTTTGAATTCCGTAGAGAGGAGCTTCAGAACTGATCTGAAAGTTGTTCTTTTTTCCCTTTTGTGGTGATGAAAACAAATGAAATGCTAATTTCATTTGTTGCATTTGGAAGTAGCATTTTTCTATGAATCATTGCAGATAAGGCTTTGTGGTATCTGAGGTAGGCTTCAAAAGGCAGAAACAACAGCAGGCTCAGAATTGGAGGGGTTAGCCCATTATCACAAGTCCCTTTGATTAAGGGAACTTATTCTGACATTCCAGAATGGCAGCATCCTTGTGCTTTTACAGATTACTAATTAGATATGTTTGGAGGACTTGGGTTGGTATTTTGGCCTAGTTGAACTTAAGGTTGCCTGATAAATGAGATTTCAAATCTTCTCAGTTACCTGGGTGTGGTTACTTTGCCTGTACTCTAATTCCTTGTTACAGAGACATGCAATTTTCTGGGATATAAAAATTATTTTCTACTTGAAGTGCTCCTGAAACTCTTACTTTTTGGTACCTGCTTCCCAAATACGGCTATTAGTGAGACTGGGTGACATCCTAATGTTTGTTTCTTTCTTAACTGGCTTAACTCAGTGGCTCATTTTCAGTCTCTAAGATCTGTTATTACAGGCCACTCTTATGTCTCACTCCTTCAAGAATTTGTACGCCTTTGACATCTTCATGGAAAATGAACATGGAAACGATATTACCGTTATCTGCATATTGCTTATATTTACCTCAGATTATATTTTTTTCTCTGCTCTTCAGTGCTTATTGCTAAATGAAAGAGGTTTAAAAACTTCACAATCACAGAATCACAGAATGGCCAGGGTTGGAAGGGACCTCAAGGATCTGAATCTCCAACCCCCCTGCCACAGGCAGGGCCACCAACCTCCCCATTTAATACTAGGCCAGTTAATACTAGACCAGGCTGCCCAGGGCCCCATTCAATCTGGCCTTGAACACCTCCAGTGATGGGACATCCACAACCTCTCTGGGCAGCCTGTTCCAGTACCTCACCACTCTCTGTAAAGAATTTCCCCCTGACATCCAACCTAAATCTTCCCTCCCTTAACTTAAAACCATTTTCCTTTTCAACCATTTTCAACTTCTCATTCTGTATACAGATGCATAAGTTTTTGTTATTTCTCGATTCAACCTCAAAACATACTCTCTCTTAGGTAGCTAATGATTTTAGATTTGATGGAATATTGTTCATTTGGCTATCTGGGTATCATTGTGTGAAATTCTTGTCTGCCTTACCTGGATGTTCAGAAATCCCATTTTGGCCCGCTTCTGAATACTAACTTTGTGACTCTGTTTTTCAGAGGTTGTTCCTTTTAAATTGGACACTAAGAGAAGGTTTTACAGGCCCCAGCTGACTGTGCAGCACTTGCAGCACTAGCCCCAGTGCTCTGCAGCTTTCAATGGGCTTTTCTTTGTTGCTTGATTTTTTTTCTTTATTCTGAATGAGAAAATGTTGAACATGAAAAACACTTTTGCATGTCAGTGCAGGGTACCTAAACATCATTAGAAGACTCAGAAAGATTTTTCATGGTTGGAAAAATGCTTCTATATGTACTCTTTAGATTTTTTTTAGAAAATCTTAGTAATAATCAGTTGTAGTAGCTGGGCGAGAAACAAATGAGGAAAACTGCTTTGCTGTTGCTGTATGTAGCTGCATACCATTAATGAAAATGAAAAGCTGCACATACTTAGAATTGCAAGCTGGCAGTGATTTGTGTAGGAGTGTCTGTTGCTGCTTCTCCAAAGCTGTGCTAATGATATTTAATTTTCAACTTAATTACAACAGAAGGAGCCTTCCCTTCCTCCTCCAAATGCAAGCATTTGGTATAGGAAAGGATTTCTTTTTGTCTTGGTCCTTCCAGTGTTTTTGTGTAATGCAACTTCTGGGAATTTTGTAGTATTTCCTTTCACCTGGTAAATGATAACGCACACACAAAAAAAAGCTTGAAAAATCAAATGTAATTGTAACTTTTTGCAACTATTTATTAATTTTATTACCTTTTAATTGGACATACTGAGAATAATATTTCTGTTGTTTTGTGATACTGAGAGTAGGAAGAAAAAGTGTAAGGCACAGGTATGTGTGATATTTAAGAGCTGTGTGGTTGCATTTTTTCAAACACTGGAGTTCTTTAGCTTGAATCAGCAGAAACGAAACTGTACCAGGGTGGTAAGGCTGGACTTGGAGTGTAGTGGAATGCTACTATGTGCCTGTGGAAATCAGTTATTGTACACTGCCAAATAAATACGTGTTCATGCACAGGTGAAGATTTCTGCTCTTGTATTTAATATGTATTTCCTGCTTTAGTGTGTATCTATAGAAAGCATTAAGAGTAGCCACTAACATAACTCATGCTAAGACTTTATCACTGCTTGGAATTGTATAAGTGCAGTTCCAATCTGCTTTAGATAGTATCTTTTGGAAGAACTCTATGCTAGACCTGTCTTCTCTGAAACCTGGGAGGTGGTGTTTACATGGGAAATGCTTCAGTTTGTGAGCAATAAATGCAAGTATTTTTACATGTTTATAAATCCTCTTGTGAGCCTTTTGTTTATAACAAATTATTTGTATTTAGTGCTTATACTTCCATAGTTCATTGGAATTTTTAAGAGTGAAGGATGCATTAGTGGGAATTTTTAGAAGACTGCTAATTTGCAGTTGTGTATTTTAAGTGCAGAATAATCCAGTTCTTTGATGTGGAATTGTACAAAATTTTAGCATGAGTTTCAACTACTAATTCTCTAATGCCAATTCTAAAACAGATGAATCAGATCTGTGAGGGATGTGGAGAGGAAGTTTGTGTTCTCATGCTTGGAGCGCTAAAGAATTGTCTTAGGTTATTTTGTTATTAATGCAGCTATTTACTAACTTTTCTTGAATGTCTTTCATTAGATTTTCATCGTGGATGCTTCTTCAGCTGCCTTGTGATGGAAGGGATATATTTTTGAAGTTATAATGGATTTTACACAGCAGCATAACGAAAACTGGCCTAATAGCAGCATTTCTATTTGAAGAGAATAGGCCTAATTGCACATAACCATGACAACTTCTCATATGAACGGACACATCACAGAAGATTCTGATAGTGAAGCAAAAAATGTGGATCTTGCATCTCCTGAGGAACCTCAGAAGCACCGAGAAATGGCTGTCGATTGCCCTGGAGATTTGGGCTCCAGGATGATGCCCATGCGGCGGAGCGCTCAGCTGGAGCGAATCCGGCAGCAGCAGGAGGACATAAGGCGCAGAAGAGAGGAAGAGGGAAAGAAACAGGAATTGGACCTTACTGCTTCCATGAGGCTTAAGAAATTAGCACAGATTCCTCCAAAAACTGGAATAGACAATCCAATATTTGACACAGAAGAAGGGATTGTTTTGGAGAGTCCTCATTATACTGTGAAGACACTAGGTAGGTGTTGATGGAAATTATGAACAGGTTAATGGAAAAAAAAAATTATTTGAATATTAATGTTCTTCTTTGTCACTGAAAATGTGATTTAGATAATTCTTCCTACTGTAAGTCTCAAGATTTCTGGTCCTTTGGGTTTGTGATTTTCTTCATTTAGCCAAGCTTAAGTATGTGCCCCAGCAGGAGCTTCCCAAAACTAATCCTTCTGGGGGACACTTAAACAAATTGTAGAGTACCGTTGGGTTCGTTGGATGTCTCCTTCTCTGCAGGGTGGGAAAATCATGTATCTGCTTCCAGATTTTATTAAGTTTGATGAAACACGTATCAGAGTAAGTGATGTCATATAAAATAAAATGCTAAAAAAGATGCTAGGGCTTTTAATATTTTGTAGCGAACCATGTCTGTTTTTTCTTATTCTGGTTGTCTTGTTTTCAGTTGTCATCTGACGTTATTTGCATTTTTCCTTACAGTGTTGGCCTTGACAATGAAGGGCTGCCTGCTTTGACTGTTAATCTAAAGATTTTGATATAAATATTTCTAAAGCTAGTAATTTTTGTAGAAATGCACTCTGAAATCCTTCACTTCATAGCTTTTGTTGCTTGAACTGCGCTTCTGTAGGAAATACTTCTAACCTTTCTTCTGCAAACACAAGCATCTAGTCATCTAAAATGAGATGTTGTCACTGGAGTGAAAATAAGGCATTGCAAACATCCCAACTTCTGGGAGTTTTGACTTCTAAATCCATACCTGTTTTAAGATCCTTACTGCTTTAAATGATATTTTTATTTTTAAATAGACGTCTAAAGCCACACACAGCAGAAATATTCACTAGTTTGTTGAGTGTGCATCATCTGTTCTTTGAGCTAGAAAGGCTGGGACCTTTTGAAGATGCAGTAATGTAATTAGACTAATTTATGATATATCTCTATGTGGCAAAATGAGGGGAAATGGCTTTAAACTGGAAGAGGGTAGATTTAGATTAGATATTAGGAAGTAATTCTTTACTGTGAAGGTGGTGAGACGCTGGAGCAGGTTGCCCAGTGAGGTTGTGGATGCCCGCCCTGGAAGTATTGAAGTCCAGGCTGGATGGGGCTTTGAGCAACCTGTTCTAGAGGAGGTGTCCTTGCCTATAGCAGGGGGTTGGAACTAGATGATCTTAAAGGTCCCTTCCAACCAAAACCACTCTGTGATTCTGTGCACCAGGGAGTTCAATTAGGGCTTTTCAGTCGAGTGGAAACTTGATGTAATACTGACAGTCATGTTTGAAAGGGAAATAAAGGTAGTGTAGTAACAATTTGGATCAAGCAGACTGAGATTTAGGAGGTGAAGGTTTATTATTGTTTCACACTCCTGAAAGTGGGTGTTGGATTGCAATCAGCCGTCGCATTGAATTGCTGAACGCTTTAAGGAAGAAAATGTAACTGAAGTGCTATAATCTTGTAACCTATGTAGCCCATAAAAAATCTGTTTCTGCCACAAGTGCAGTAAAACTAAGTCAGAATTTTAAATTTTACAAAGCACTTTTCCAGGTAACTTGGCCTCTTCTAATTTTTTTCCTCTACTCTCAAGCATGCCCTTTTTTTCCAGTTTCTGAATTAATTGTTATGAGATCTGACACTTCTGCTGAATTTGAATGAAGCTGCTTGTTCCTGACTCTCACCAAGGGCTGGTGAAGTTGTCTTATGAATGCGTATATATATAAAATACAGAATATCATGAAAAGGGCTGGAGTCCATTTTATTTAGTACTTCTGCTTTTTTAATGTTTTGGAGAGGCTGGAATTTCTAAAGTTAACGTGTTCAATTTCTTTATCTCTAAAAAACTTGCTGGCCCATGACTTAGTAAAAAAAAAAAAAGAAAAGAAAAAAACCAAACCAAACTTAGTGCATGTGAAATGTTTTTTATTTAGTTTGAATTTCTGAAGCATGCTGCTTCTGACTACTGAATTTTCACTTTGATGCATTTCCAAGCTTTGTTAACAGAACTCTTAACCAGTCTTAGTGAATTACAAAGTTGTTAAACTACTGTTATCATTGCATTTTAAGAAATGGATTTCAGCTTTGCTTTATTTGTAAAGCCATGGAATTGCTGCTAAAACATAGGGCTATGAGTAAGTATTGTCTATATATTTAGTTTTGAAAATAGCATTCCATACATGCTAATACCTCATTTGGTATTTCCTTGCCAAGTCTTCGATCTTTTCATCTTAACAATTAAAAAATCAAGCGGATTGGATTTAGTTTATAAAGATAAAATAGCACACTTAATTAAACCGGTTTTAAAGGGCATGTTTATTATCAAAACAGGACATGATTTAGACAGCTGACAGGGTGGAAATACCTTTCTGAGCACATAGAACATGTTCCTTACTGAAGTGTTTAACAAGCTCATTCATAGCTGTGTATTTCTCTTAAATGCAGAAAATATTTTTTACGCTGCAGCTTATTCTCCTAATTAAATAAGTAGCTGACATTTCATGTAAGAAACCTTTCGTAGCTACAGCAAAAACTGTTTTGTTTTCTTTTTTGTTGGGGAAAGCTGCCACTTTCTTTTTATTTGGGTAAAATTTACTTACAAAATATAAAACACTTTGTTTTCTAGAAGTTAATTTATACTTATAAATAGTTTTGCATAAACCGGTAGTTTTCTTAGCGCTGTCATTCAAGTAGCATATGAGGCATTAGAGAGCTAGCAGTAGTATATGGAGTACTCTAAAGAGATCTAAAAGAACCTAAGAATTAAGATATTGGTGGTAATATACAATAAAGCCAATTATGTGCTCTTAAATTTGCTGCTTGTAACTTTTTGTTGAGAATGATCCAACATGTTAAGCAGTGACTGTGGGTCCTCCCCTGCAGTTGCGTATTTTTTGCTGGCAGTCCTTTTGATTGCTACATGTATCACGCAGTGCTGTGTCACATTCCAGCCATTTCTTGGTCTAATGGGAAAAGACTGCAATGCTTCTTGAAAAACAGGAGTTGAAATTAATAAAACAGTTGATGGCTAATTGATCTGCGCTATAAAATGGACTTTTTCTTCCACAGAACCTTGACTTTTTCTGTGAGTAAATGTGCAAGATGTTAGTTGTTTACTGAACTGTTTTCTTCTATACAACCCTTTAAATAGGGAATGTCTAGAGATAGAATCTTGCTACCTGGCATTTATGAACAAGAACAAAAAAAGCCTTCAGAAATGTAATCGGTGACTCAGAATTCATAAACAGGGACCTGGAATGGCTAGCTTTTATGCCTTTGGAGCTTTTGCTATTCCTGGGAGAAGTGTGATATGATATTGATCTTCCACATCCAGAACAGATGAAGACTGAGTGTACAGAGAGATTAGTTGGTGAGGAGAGTATTTGGTAGATTTGTAAGGAAGGGCAAAATAGAAGGAACTAGGAAAGTGCTGAAGAGATTATGTGTGGGGGCATCTTCTTATTGTACTGTAGAATAGATGTCTATCAGTCTGTATCTGTTTCTGTCTTATATGGAATATACATTAGAAAGTATTTGTGCATGTACTTGAAGTCTCAGGTATATCTCTGGGCTAGAGAATTCAGAAATAAATGAATAAAACCATTAGTGCTTAAGGAGTATTATAAAGAAGTTGAGTTCTCTAATGCCTCGTTTATTTGAACCTAGTAACAACAGAGTTTTCAGTTGATGTTTAACTGAACAGGCACTAATAGAAACCTGAGCATCTGACTGTTTTCCACATATTTTTATTTTTTTAATACTCGAAACCAGTTCTCTTAAGTGTCAGGAGAAAAGGTTGCTGAGACTATTTGCATACTCACCTAGGCAATTAATCTGCCAGTTTACCAAATTATCATATTTAGCAAATATTCTTGCTTCCTAGGTGTTAACTTTCATCCCAAACAGCATTTCCCTGTTCAATGGACAGTAGATTTTGTACACATTTCCCCAGTAAGATGCTGGCCTTAATTACTGTTTTGAGCTGTACTGTTTCCCTTGTGGAATATCCTGCCCTGCCTCTATCTGAACTTTGACTGCATCTTCTTACTGCTCTTTATTTCCTTGGTGGTTATAGGAAGGTAGGTAGGATGTTTTTTACGTGACTATGGAATGCTTTTAGGATGTGTTCTTTTTAATTGTACTGGGATTATTTCTTTCCTTTTTATTATGAAAGTGTACTTTACGTATCCATCACTCATTCTGTAAGCAAGCAATATGTTATATATACACATGGAGTATTTAAATAAAGTGTATCTAAATAATTTATTATACAGGGAATCAAAACTAGTTTAGCAAAGCAGTTGATTTTGTATTGCAAAATAGTTCTTCTTTAACGTTTAGTTATACACGAGCTGTAGTTATTGAATCTTTTATGTACCAGTAGTTTCCTTCAGAGAAGTGCTGCTCCTATTATTTGAAATTCAGTTTTGAACCATTCATCTGCTTGTTTCTTTTTCTTATACTGGCTTGTGCTCCTTGTTTTGTTTCTAATATGTTCTGTTGATAACCATGAGAGAATAATAGCTAAGTAATACATTTACATACATTACTGCTGATTTAAAAACTGAATGGCAAAATTTTTTTGTAAAACTCTGAACACAAACATTACAACATTATCAGTCTTTAACTTGTGTCTTGGTTTTGTTTTATTTCCTACCAGAAGTGGAAGAACTATTAACTTCCCTAAAACATATCCAGCATGTTTTGGTAGACCCTCAGAGCCAAGAGGATATCTCTCTCATCTTACAGCTTGTTCAAAATACTGATTTTCAGAATGCATTTAAGATACACAACGCTGTTACAGTGTACATGAACAAAGCCAGCCCTCCATATCCTCTCATCTCCAATGCACAAGAACTAGCACAAGAGGTATGTACAGTATGCATCTCATTGATATGTATACAAAGCATGTAATCATAGCTGTTGTTGAAATGTGTATTTGGCAAACTTGTCTGAGTTACTGCATGTTAAATACAAAATGAATTCCAGTAGTCACTGATTGCTGTATCCAGTTTTTCCACATTTCCAGGAAAGCAGTAACTGGAAGAATATTTTAGAGATAAGAATGCCCTTTTTGATGAGAGTAGTTGTGTGGTAGAATTAAAAATGTAAAAGAATTAAACAGAAAAGGGAGCAGTTAGGGAAAACTTTTCACATTCACTATTCTTTAGTCCAAGGATTAGGAATTGCATTGCAGTTATCTGTTATTGTGAGTTTCCTCCAAGTTGTGCCCTGGTTCTTAAATTTGGAGGCATCTCTGAAAATACAACTGTACTGGAAACAAACATTTTGCTGTAAAGTGAGCAGCAGGTGCCTTAATAGTTTATTTTTTCAATTACTACTGTGGTTGTCAGATTACATTTAATTTTTTTCTGACATGACAGCTCTCTTATAAGGCCAAGCGCGTCTTCTAGAAATGATTAAATTGTGCTTTTAGAAATCTACTTCAGTAAGATTAAAAACTTTCTTATTTTGAGTGAGATCTTAAGTGTTTGAAATACTATTACAATTTTAGGTAAGTTAATTGTTTTCTTTGAGTCTTACTCATTTGAATATAGATGAACAATGCGTGTGTATAGGAGCATTACAGGCAGTAGAAGTAATTCACGGGAAATGCATCAGATACAAAGTTGCAGATAACAGAAGGAATATCAGCACAAGTGCAACAGGTTACATTCTGCAAAGCCAGCTCCCCAGGCAGGATAAGTGCACCTGCTCAGACCTGGCTCGGGTGCACTGGTGCATTGCTCACAGATGCATCACTTCCATTTCAGTATAGCAGCAGGATGATTTTCATAGCGTCTGGTTTTGTTGATCTTGCAAGTCAAAGAAAACAATGTTGCAGCCTTAGTTCTTTTGCAGAATAAATTACTGATTCTTGAGAGATGTCACTAAAACATTCTCCAAAGGCAGTTTGCTGATTAATCTGCTGCTCAGGATTTTTCTGTTTATGCTCATCAGAAAGATTGCACCAAAACAAAGTGGGAGTATCTTTCCTGTGAGCTTGCCTATAGTTTATCAGTCTGCCTCTAGGCTGCTCCAGTATGCTTGTTAGGCTTCGTCCCAATCTGGAGGGACCTTTCAAGTTAACTTCTGTTTGTAAGCCACTTCCTCATACACACATGCTGCCTGTAGACCTAGTTTGCTTTTTCACTCAGATGCAAGTCAGAGTTTTTAAATCTCTATTTATATATAGAATATTTGAGGTTAATATCATAAGAAATGTGATTGGTTTCCCCCCACCCCTCCCCGTCATGGATATGGTATTTTTTTATTTGGTGCATAATGGAAGTTTCCAGGAGGAATGTATGCCTTCCAACTCTAAATTACCCTGCAAGACAGAATCTTCTGTTGACATCTGTAGTGGAATAGCAGAGCTTTATCAGTGTAGGGAAAACTACAAGTTGGTTCTCAAATGTTCATATTCCTCCCTGCTGTCTTCCCTAACTCCCACATTCTCAGCACATTCCTGTTATTTTCAGGTAGTTTCATAAATCCTAAGATCAGAAGACAGTGCAAAGCCAGTTCTGTGTCTTAACAGTAGTGCATAAAGGCATTTAAGGATTAAATATTTTGTTTATCTGATAGAATTTTGTCATCACCTGGAAGAATATTACGTAGAAGATGATGTATTCCTGCTCTCATTTTGATGCTTCATCCCGTCTGTGTCTTGTTGCAGCCTTGAAATTCCTGAAGGGAAATATATTGCATACATCTGTGTTCATTTTCAGATGTAATCTAGATTCAACTTCTGATTTATTTAAGCAAATTATATTTTGCAATATGTTAAACAACATCCTGAAATAATTAAGCTGGAAATTCAGGTCAGATATTTCTGCGACCAACAGAAGTGTTGTAAGGAAAAGCTTGAGGCTTCCATTCATGTCATTCTTGTTTGAACAGATCTTATGCTCATTTTTCAGACCTGTTATTCCTTAATGATTTTTTGCTTCAGGAAAAGTAGTTTTCCACATGCACACCACCCCCAACAGGGGCAGCATGCCCAATTATTTTGTAGTTTTTTCTTATTGTGTCTTTTTCTTTTCTACCTTTGAATATAGGCTTAGGAAGCTCCCTCAGAACGCAGTTCTTTAATCCTTCTGGAGCATTACCTACTTCAAGGTGTTTTTAAAGAGACACTTGGAAAAGTCTGAACAACTGATAACATCTTGATGATACAAAACAGTACAAGAAAGAAAAACAGTATATACACACGTAACATTAATTTTAAATGACAAGTAATGTTAATGTGCATATTTTAGTGCACAGGTCATCAGTGACAGTGTACAAATCTGAAACTGTTTTGTAGTGTGTGTCCCAGTTTAAAGCTACAAACTCTGAACTCTCTGCTGTTGGAGGCTTTATGGTGTAGAAAAGAGCCTATTCTAGAACTCATACATCTGTAGCTCTAACAAAAGCAGACAAAAATTCTCATCCTCTGTTTAAAAAAAAAAAAGGAAAGATTAAGATTTAGTATAAAGTAAACACCTTTTCCAAAGTGATGTCTGGAGAGATTTTCATTTGTCACACTGAACTTAATTCAAGTCTCTGTTTTCATTTACTCTTAAAGTTTGCCTATTTGTAAAAAATAATATATTTTAACAGTGTTGGGAAAAATTTTTGCCTTTTTTTAAAATTTAACAATATTTAAGTGGATAAATTTTCTAGTCCTCTTGAGGGAATTCTTTGTATTAGTATATTTGCACTTTTCTTGTTTACTTTGGTAAGCAGATCCCAACAACTCAGGATTTTTCTTTGCTCTCATTGTTAAGAAACCTTTATTGAATTAAAAAGGTAGAATGGAGCATTTAGGCTTAAGGAATTTATTTTCAAGAGCTAATCTCCATAAAATGTTGTCGTCTATCTCTTAAACAAAAATAGCCAGTAAACTTCAAATCTAATTAAATTGATTTTAAATCCTTTTAAATTTGGCCATGATAGAGGTGAGGATTATGGTCTGAATCTTGACCTTGTAAGAATATTTGATGCAGCATATAAGACAGTTGGTAGTTTTTGGCTTGTGACACCACATATCAGATGCCTTGAATATATTCTTGCTATTAAATATCCTCAACAGACTCAATTTATATAAATTGTGTTTCTAAATACTTGATACCATTCACTTCAGGAAGTGTAAGCAATTAAATTAGATCAGTTCTTCTCAGAAGACAGAAGACACACTTGTAACTTCCAGTATAAATCCTTCAGAATGTTGTGCATTGCGCCCAACAGTCCTGCTCATTCCATGCAGCATGGTTTTGCAGGTGTGATTAAATTCTGAATGGCCAATATGATTCCAGTGTGTGCCCTTTGCTATGTGTCCTGCAGTATACCTCCAAGTTGTGGCTTTTATATTGAAACCATACTAATAATTTTTTTTATTTGTTTGAGCTCAAGTTTACGTAACTAACAATAAAAACTGGGTTGAAGGGTTAAGAAAATAGTAGTATTGCCACATATTTAGCATGGAATGCTTACACTGTCTGTGGTGTGTCACTTCTGGAAAGTCAGCCTAGATTCAGATTTCTTCACCTGATAAGACGTGGAATTCTTTACCCGAAATAAAGCAACCTGACATGCTGCAGTACCAGTGTAATAAGTGTTGCACATAGCAGACTGAACCTTTCCTAATGCTTCAACCATTATATTAAGCAAATAAATAATATATTTATCTTTTCCTTAGGAAGGAGGTGGAGGAGCTGTTAGAGTTTTTGAATTATGTAATTATTCAAAGAGGAAATACAGGTGCAATAAAGGATGTTGTTGCATACAGAATGACTGACTGGTTAGGCCAAGTTCTAAGGCATGGAAAAATAAAGGGGGAGGGGAGATGCTGTTCATGGCATCTAAACATATATACGCCTTATTGTGCTCCTTTGCTTCAAGCTGTTTAATCTCTGCATCACGTAGCAACTAGCTAAATGTTACTGTAAATAATATATGGTTTAGGATTGCTTTTATGCTAAATATTTATTGTATAAATTCACAAAGATGTGCAGATTTGGTTCTGAGATACAACAATACCTACAGACGTATGTAGTACATCTCTTCCTCTGTCTAATACTTAGTATCTTAGGCCACGTGTTTGAAGTGTCTTGCTTGCAGGACTTCTAACTGGGGATAATAGATAGCTTCCTGGCAGCTGCGGAGATATGCCTTAGGTCAAACTGATGTGGAGCTGAATTCCTTCTGTTCTCTGTGGTTTTATCTAAATTAATTCTTCAATTTAGTTCTTGATTTTTATGTCACATTTTTCATTCTGAAGAGTAAAAAACTCATGGGGGAAAGAACATTTCCATCTCACAGGAAGCTGCTGTTATGTATAATCTACCTTTGATACCTCCAGCTTCATGAGTGCTTTTGGACTCATGTCTTTAGTGCAGATTAGGCCTGAAGATAATTGCTGTGGAAAGTATCTTCTTCAGCTTTGCCCTTAGATAAAGGGGAATTCCCTGCTCCTGGCTTTCCTTTAAAACATACAGGGATTTTGTGTATTTGAGATGATGGTAAGGCCTGTTTAACTGAACAGGAATGCAAACCTTTTTTGGCAACAAAAGCTACTTGAGCAAGAACAGTTGTCTTACTGTGGATTATTCTTTTCCTTGGCAAAAAAAAAGAGTACAAAAAATAGCTGAAGAAAACTGGTTTGCTGAGATGTTGGTGATCTGAAGTTTTTACAGAGTTTCTGAGACAGATGTTCCAGCAAGTGCTGCAAAACCTGTTTTGGAATCTTTGGTCTTGCTGCTGGTAGAAATACTGGGTTAAAAATAAACCATCTGCTTTTAGGGAAAAGAAGTCTGGTCACATTAGAGAGAAACTAGTCCATTTTGGAAGATGTAGCAATATTTGCAGATAGGCTTCATTGTAGCTAATTATGCTGTCAGGTTCCTTTCTCAGCTCTAACTTTTGTGTACATCTCTTGTGATTGCTGAGCTCATTGTTAGTTTCTGTTGAGAAATCCATGTGATATACTGGATACCAGTTTGCATTCAATAGAAAATCACTGAAGCACAGCATGCTGGAGTAGTCCTGTGATCTCACTGCACATTTTTCTAATGTGTGCTAGGCCAGGCTCAGTGCATCAGTATAACAATTATTGCGCATATTTTACTTTCAGTAAAATGAATAATTGCAATTAGGGTTTTGTTCTTCAGTTGGGGAATAAAGATTGATAAATCACTGGGTAGAGTGAGAGCTATACTACTTTATTTCTTTTCAGGTTCAAAGTGTTTTAAAACCCAGTCACCACAAGGATGGGCAGGAACTTAATGCCTTGCTGAATGCCCCTCACATGCAGGTAAAACAAATTGCTCTATTCTACAAGTATTACAAGGTAATTTTCACATGAGCAAGGTGGCATTAGATCAGTTATGTCAGTGGCAATACATGAGCTACTTTTTAATGTTTTTTTTCTGTGACAGGTACAGCTATTGCACTGTTATCATAGGGTGCATAAAGAGAATTTTGTCCAGTGATGAAGTAAATTCATGAGTAAATTGACTAGTAAATTTTTTTGCTTCTGTATCTTCATTCACATATTATAGTAAACCAATGTCTGACGTTTTTCAAGAAGTTGTAAGTATAGTCACAACTCTGTATTCAAAGTGGTTTTGTATTATTTTCCAAAACTGAAAGCAAAATTTTTTGCAAGTAGAAACTACATAGCTGTGATAAATCTTTTCTATTGCTTGAGTCATTTTGCAGTATTCTGTAATTGTGTAAAGAGCTTTCAAATTGCAGAATTTCATTGATTGTTACTGTTTTCTATGCGTATGAAATTAGAATTTTACTGTAACTGAGCTGATTTCATTTAACACTAGGCACTTCTACTAGCTCATGATAAGGTTGCGGAACAAGAAATGCAACCCGAGCCTCTTGCAGATGAAAAAATTTATGAAAATGTTGGCACGTATGGAGGGGAGACGGTTAAAATAGTTCGCATTGAGAAAGCTCGAGACATTCCCTTGGTAAGTGTTGGTACTCGCTCAGTTATACTTAAAGCAGGTAAGCAATCTTTGCACATAGCTATGAAAGTCTTAAAATTTGAATGTGAAAGTTACGTTTAACTTAAGAATCATTTTCTTCCCCACCTGCCCAAATGAGAAATGGTAATAAATGATCGCTTAATGTGCATTTTGATATAGCACTAGGCATGTTACCACTTAGATCCTGTATAGCTTTCATCATGTGGTTTTGGCCAGGTTTTATTATAGAAGTCAGTATCCAAGCTTAGCTGCAGGGAAGCTTAGATCCTTGTCCAATTACAGAAGTCTGTGTTGTGTTAGTGTTCTTTTTCATCTTCTATCTTGCATCTTTCAAATAAGTGTTTAGGAAAGCTTTTATTTAAAAAAAAAGAAAAGAAAAGACTCTTATAGTGTAGAGTGGTTCAATTCTTCAATCTTTAATACTACTTAAAGAAACAGATGTGTTTTTTTTGTAAACTAGTGCACTGCTTGTATACATCCAAGCTGTTACATGCATTTCTTTCACAGGGTGCTACTGTTCGTAATGAAATGGATTCTGTCATCATTAGCCGAATAGTCAAAGGAGGTGCTGCAGAGAAGAGTGGGCTGTTACATGAAGGGGATGAAGTTCTGGAGATTAATGGCATTGAGATTCGTGGAAAAGATGTTAATGAAGTTTTTGATTTACTGGTGAGTTGGGGATTTCATTTTCCCTGCGAAAAATACTCCTAAGAGTGAAGTCTGTTAGCTCTGCTTGTTATTTGTAGTCGTATTTAGAATTATTTTAGAGCCGTTTCTTACTCTCATACTTAGTACTCACGCATGGTGAGTGTAAGTTTCAAGCTTGCTGTCTCATGCGAGGTGCAATTTTAGCAAGTATAATGGCAGTTAAATGCAAAAATGAACCTTTCAAATATGAACAAGTCAAGCTATCATCTTGAGACATGTTTTTATGACTTCTAAGGAAAAGCTTTGCTTAGCTGTGAAAAGCCATGATTTTTTCATCTGTCTCTGGCTTAGTCCTCAGTTAATACCAGTAAATGTGTGCCTGCATGATTTTGGTCCTGTCTGGCTGAGGTGGAGTTCACCATCTTCACAGTAGATGGTTTCTCTCTTCAAAATCCACTCTGTTGCTTGCACAGTGTCAATGCGGTTTCTCTTCTTCTTCATTCTGTCCCTTCCTGTGAGTAGGTACGTAAGATGTGGTGGGGACAGTGAGGGCAGATGTCCACAGTGATATTTCATGCCAAGTAGTACATGCTCAGGAAGAAAAAAAAAAAAAAGGACAATGAGCCATTTCTTCAGTACTGATTTTTTTTTTTAGTTCAGTTTTGTTCTACACATTCATATGTTAAATTCTTGACCCATGAGTCTTTCTTGCTTTTGATCTTATGATTTTCTTCCATGTGCCTTTTGGGGAGACGAGTGAGTAAGCAGTTAGCAGTAGTTTCTGGCTGGGCTCAACGCACTGCTAATTATTTCACATGGGACATTTACCTGACCAGACTTCTTATTCTTTCCCTCTTAACAAAAAACCTTTTTGTCTAGCAGCTTACCAACAAAAGGTACTTATCTCTTTGTTACACTGGTAACATTCATAGCAAAGCTGTGCATCAATTCAAAAGCCACTAGATAAAACCAGCAAAAAGTCTATCAGGAGCTAGTAAAGGCAGAAATGTTCTCTCTAAGTTCTGGCAAGGTAGGATGCCAGAAGCTGGGGATTGTACATACTTCATTTTGCCCAATATTCCTCTGTTCCTATGCTCCTCCTTGGCACCTGCTATTGATCAGTGTCTGAGATGGGTCACTTGGAACCTTACTGTGAGTCTTCAGTCTCCCTCAGAGAAGGTCATTCTGTAAAAGTGAAAATGGATGAAAGTGCCTTTTTTTTCCATCTTTACTACAGACCTTTGGAAATACTAGCACATATTTATTAAGAGGATCTTTGGGAAGAAGTTCCAAAGAAATACATATAGTAAATATTTGAATTACTTAGTGAATGTAAGCTCTGTATGCAAATGAAAATCAGGGCAAAGACTTGGGTTCTTCCATAAGTTGCATTTATTATACGAAGTACAAGCATTATCAATAAATGAAGTCTTCTAGTGTAAGACTGTAGTTTTTAATGGACACTGTCCATCTTTTCTGATGGTGCTGTTGAATTAATGCATGGAGGGAGGCCGAGTGGAGAGAATTAGAGGCAGAAATGTTTTTTCTTGAGCCATTTATTTGAAAAGTCTTCAGTCTCCATGTGTTTTGGATCAGAGGTGTGTGAGATCCTTTATGCCATTGGCTCCGTTGCCATCCATGTTTTCAAAAGAAGCCATCCATATTCAGCTACGTCTTTTTGCTTTTGAAAAAAATGTTTTGTATGTGTTTAACAGATAATTAAACAGTAGCAGTTTAACTCTCTGTGGAGATCTTGTTCTGCACTTGAACAGGTCCTACAACTTAGAGTTACAGAATAAAAGATGTGATATGTATACATATGTATTATTTCTGTGTTACTTATGTTTGTAAGAGCAACTGGTGAAAACCTCAAAATGTCCTAGTTTAAAAAACTAGTTTTTAAGCTTCATAATTATTTGTATGCTGACTTTTTTTTGTTTTGTAATGTTAAATTTTAGAAGTTATAAAAAGTTTCAGTCCTCGAAGAATACTTAAGAACAGGAGAGAGAGAAATTTCTTGCATTCTAATTCTTGCCTCACCCCTCGTGCCTAAAATGATAGTGAAGAGGCATGTGACTTCAGACAAGGCTATTCATGCTATCACTGTGAAATTCTGTGCATTCCTCAAGAAACTATGCATACTAACTGAAAATGGTGAATTTTCCTTTCCTACAGCCTAATCATATTATCCTCAGTTACATTTACTTCATTTAAGCCTGAAGTGTCAATTTTTGGTGGTACACATACATGCTTTAGTTTATGCAGCGTCAATTCTTATGGTTCATGGGACGTTGTATAGAAAGTGAGATGCACAGGCCTCTTCAGGATTTGGCATGTGTATTAAAATAGATGCAGAAATAAACTGTGTACAAGAGTATGCAAACAACTAAGACTGCTCTAAAGCCAAGACATGTATTAAGTTCCCTTTTCTTTGTAGATGCTGGCAGTTTCAATGTTAGGTACCTATGCAGAATTTGAGTGTTCTGGTTAAATTTTTAAAAAGCGTTCTGTATATTTTGGAAGTGTTAACAGCATAAAAACATACTAGAGATGTTTAGATTTAAAAACACTGTTGCATTTAAATAATTTCAGGGTTAAAGTTTCCTGCGTATTTTCTCCTACTAGCATAAATCTGCTTGGTATTTTCGAACTGAGCAGTAGAATGTACTCTATTTGGTCCTCTATTTGTCTCAAGTCTCTGCTTGATACAGTTGCAAGTGTTCTATTTAAAATAGAAATAGGTTATACATAATCTGGAGCTCTAATTTTTTATAATCTGAATATGAGCATTTGGTTTTCTAATCTGTTGCTGAATGACTGCAACTGTATGTTAACACACTTTTTTTTTTTATCTCAGGCTGACATGCATGGCACTCTGACCTTTGTATTGATTCCCAGTCAGCAGAGCAAGCCACCTCCTGCAAAGGAGACAGTTGTAAGTAGCTTTACATAGCCTTGGTGATGTGTACCCTATTTTTCCAGTAGAGCTTAGAACATTGTTTTGTAGGTTATTTACACAGCAAAACAAAACCCAAATTGAAGTTATTTAAATAGTTTGTTACCAGACTTGCACCTGAGTTAAATGTTAAAAATGATTGACAGTGATAAGCTGAAACATACAGTATATTTCTAACTCTGTTTCTAAAATAATAAGAGTTGAATAAAAGTAGCACCATTTATGCTTCTGAAATTCTATTTGAAACTTCTCAGTTTCTCTATTTTATATATATCAATTGAATTGATAGAAGTGTTCTACTGTAATTTGTAAATATGCTTTGTGAAGGAAAGATCTGTATACTGGATACTTCTGGTATCTTTTTAGTTAACATAACCTTTCCTCTGTCTGCTTCAAGAGTTTGAAGAAAGATTGCACAGATTTCTATCAAAGGGAAAAAAACAACTTAAATATTTGGTGGCAAAGTATTTTTGAAGTGGAACTTCATCTGAAAGCCAGAAAACGGGTCTCATTCTGTGTGTTTGCTATTTAAATATAAATAAATGAGAATATCTGTGATTTCTTTTTGAGTGCTAAGGGCTTAAATTTGTAGCTCAGGATTTTTTTTTTTTCTTTTGGTTCCTAAAGTGGTAAAAAAAAAAAAAAAAAAAAATTGTAGGCTCTAGAATTAATAAAACTTGAAATTCAGGCCTTTATCCATTCCAGTGCCTCCTGTATGCCCTAGATACAGTGTGCATTCTATAAGAGTTATCTTGGGGCTTTTATATATCAAGCCTCATCTTTAGTCATGTGAAGACGGAGGTGTAACTCTTCTGAAGTCACGGATTTTTCCTTTTTTTTCATTTTTATCTCCCACAGATACATGTGAAAGCACATTTTGACTATGATCCTTCTGATGACCCTTATGTCCCCTGCCGAGAGTTAGGCCTGTCTTTTCAAAAAGGAGATATACTCCATGTCATCAGCCAAGAAGACCCAAACTGGTGGCAGGCTTACCGAGATGGAGATGAAGATAACCAACCACTGGCAGGCCTTATTCCTGGTAAATAAAGATTTAGAAAAATCTGGAAAAGTTTTTGTTCTCATAGTTGTAGGAGGCAATATTTTGATTTTTTTTTTAAGAACTCATTCCCACAGCCTTAAAATACCTGTGACTTTGAACATTTTGCAGCACTGTTGGTTTCATAATACATTTATTTAAAAGGTTGACCTTTTAGAAGTATCTCCATGTATAAATGTTAAACATCAAGTAAAACCACCACTTCCACTGCAGTTCATGTTTCCTAAATTACTCTGTATTTCCTTGTTCTTTTACACTGGCAACTCTGTGGATTCAGAGTTCCCTCTGCTGGCTACAGCAGCAAAATTGGACTTCAACTTGCTTGTTGCCTCTGGAGACGAGGGCAGCTTTTAGATTTCAAGTAGTACCTTTGAAAAATACGTTTTCAGGTAGTAACTTTTCTATGTATTCTCACTTAGCCAAGAGCTTCAGTTATTGTAATAATCAAGCTTCCTTTCTAACTGCTGGAGGCCTTTGAGTAATTGAAGTTTCAGAAATTGAAGTTGGTGTATAATTTTTCTCTTGAAGTATGTAATGCATTCCAGTTAACCACAGATCTTAGCAGATGAACAGATGTTAATTCCATAGAATAGTATGCTGTTATTTTATAGTATTTGAATAAGATCAGGGGAACACTGATTTTAAATGTAGCATAATATTTTTTTCAAGCTGACATTTTAGAAATGTAACATAAATATAACACACATAATATTAAAAAATAAGAAAAATATATCATCACAGTGACAAAAATGTAGTCTTCCCCATATTTTCAGTTTTCAGACAAAACTATCCAGAAAAGTACGAGGCTGTGCAATTCTCATTTGATTATGTTTTGGAAGCAATAAACTGGTTTCTCATCAAGTTTGACATCTGCAAATCTTACTTTTTAGGATTTTTAGGCTCACTTCTTCCATCCATCCATTCAGACAAATTTTAGGACATGGGAAGGAAATCGGCTGAGTCCTTGGTTCCCATTTCCTGCTAAATACAGCATTGTTGCCAGTGTTAAAATAGCTGAAGAAAGTGATAGTCAAACAATATGAAAATCCTCAGGAAGTATACAATTGTATTTGATAGTGCTACGCATGTGGCTTGCTTGACAGCAAACATGGAACTAATGTTTATTAAAAAAGCACCATGTTAATACTATGAAATAACTAAAAAAAAAAAAATCTGAAAAATTGACTGTAAATGTCACCCGAATTAGACAGTGCTATAAAGACAACAGACACTTTTGTGTACATAAGTTACATCACTTCCAGATACTGTCAGTTTTGAAAGGTACTGTTAATGTACATATTCAGATTAATTGTGCTCCCTGCTGAAGGTTAAGCTTGATTTCTGAGTTTCATTCTATTAAGGTAATAGAATTTTACATCTTTATGACAATCAGTTTTCCCCAACAAATTTCTATTTTATGACATATTCTACTAGAAGCTTCAGAAATTTAAAATCTTAACAAAATGAGTAAGTCATTACAAGAAGATATGGAAATGTACACATACTTATGACTATACATAGTAACAGTTTTCAAAAGTTAACTGCTTTTTCATTTTTCTTTAAAATGCTTTCAGGAAAAAGTTTTCAGCAACAAAGAGAAGCAATGAAGCAAACTATAGAAGAAGACAAGGAGCCGGAGAAATCAGGTTAGATCTGTGCTTTTTGAGGAAAAAGGTGTCTGTCTAATAATGGTGTTAATTACTATAATTTAGAACCTTGTCAGCGTAGAGTTACAGGAAATTCTCCATTTTTATAATACCGATGAGGTGCTTGCTTGAAGTTCTTGTAAATGCAGGCCTGAATTTAGTTTCAATCAGTTTAGTTTCAGGTTTAGAATTTAGTATCAATCAGATTACTTTCTCATAATTATTATGCACCATGTAATGTGAGGGAATTTGGAGTGCCTCCTTTTTCTTAAAGAATTTTACTTGTAGCAAGACCCAGTTGAAGCTCTTGCTGTGCAGAATTTGCTTCATACATTCTACTGGTGTAATAAACTAAACAACCTCGTATTTTCAGATCTGCAAATCCATATAGTCAGTAAGATATGAAGTGTTTTACCTCATGGGTATGTAATTGTGATGACTTTATTTTGATTAGGAAAACTCTGGTGTGCAAAGAAGAACAAAAAGAAGCGGAAGAAAGTTTTATACAATGCAAATAAAAATGATGGTAAGTAACATCTTTTACATAGTGTGCATTTATAAGTAACTGTAGAAGATTTAGCAAATGCTCTTGTTTAAAAAGTAGAAACACTTTATTTCCCCTGTCTTGACTTGCTGGACAAGTCAATCTTTGAGGCTGTAGAGGGGAGCTTCCTTGCTCTGCAGGACAAATGACACATTCAGTGAGCGATAATACGTTGACCTTTTTATTGTTTTTCTTTCAAGATTATGATAATGAAGAAATTTTAACGTATGAGGAAATGTCACTGTATCATCAACCAGCAAACAGAAAACGACCTATTGTTCTCATTGGCCCACAGAACTGTGGCCAAAATGAATTGCGGCAGAGACTTATGAATAATGAAGTGGATCGCTTTGCCTCTGCTGTTCCCCGTAAGTTTGATAGGCAGATATGATTGCTTATTCTAAACATTGCCTACACCAAATCCTCTTGTGATTAAAATTGTAATTAGAAATTAAGGGGTTTTGAGGAGGTTATAGTCAGCTCTTTTGGTGAAGAACAAATTATGTCTTGTGTCGCAGGCACCAGCCTTTGTAAGTAAATGCAAATCCAGTGTCCCAAAACAGTGCTATGAGGCACTACTATATGACATGTATATTTTCAATCTGGATAAAGTCAGAATGAGTTACAGAAGCTTAAAGAAGAAACTGGCACATCTAACAAATAATTTCTGAACTAGTTATCCTGCATAAACTTAAATTTACATGGATTTAATTCCTTTCCAAACTATTTACATTTCACTGGATTTTATGTAAATTTTGTACCCAAGATTAGTATTATAAACAACTAACAGCTGTTTTTCAGCTCCAGAATGCAGCTGTATGGGTGAAATTTATTCTTAACTGACTTTTTTCTGAGATGAATGTAAGAAGACATCTGAATGTAGATTCAGTCTGACTGATCAATCTCTCCAGGAGTATTTATTACACAGAATAAAATACATGTATTTCTTGGCTATTTTAATCAAATGCTGGTGTTTTCTTTTCACTTGACTGGGTACGTTTCATTCAGTTTATTTTTTTGTGGTTTTGTTTGTAGATACAACTCGGAGCAGGCGAGAAACTGAAGTAGCTGGCAGGGATTACCATTTCATTTCCCGGCAAGCATTTGAGAATGACATAGCTGCAGGGAAGTTTATCGAATATGGAGAATTTGAAAAGAACCTTTATGGTACTAGTATAGACTCCGTGCGGCAAGTGATCAACTCTGGCAAGATATGCCTTTTAAATCTTCACACTCAGGTATTGGCAGAAGCTGTTGCCTGTTATGCTTCAATTTTAGCAGCTACTGTGAAAGTCTAAAAGAGATATTTTAAGTTGATGTAAAATTAGTCCGTGTGTTTCCACGCTTATTCCAACATTTTTTCAGTGGTGTTCTGTTGACTATTTAGAATGCTCTGTGTATTTTCAAACAAGGAACAAAAAGGTTGCATTCATAATTTTTGTATCTGTGCTAAAGTTAAAAGGGATGTTGGTTTCCAGATATTTCTCACTAGCTTTAATTTTCTGAATTGAAAAATTAAGATTTTGCTCTGATTTTAGCCATTATTCTATGAGCTCTAAGGTGTTAGAAAATGGAGAAGCTTTTGGAAAATTCAGATTACAGTCAGGTTCTTTTTATTTGTCTTGATATATGTGTAGCATGGCAATAAATACTCTGAGCATGTAGTGTGTCTGGCATCCTGTATTTTAATCTTCAAAACAGGAAAGGTTAAACTGGAATTTTTTTTAAAGACCTCTTCTCTCAATTAAAAGTTTCTAATTCCCTAGCGTTTTAAGGAAACTCAATTCCATTTAGATTACTTGTTTGATTTTGAAATTCTTGAGCAAAAGTAAATGTTTGGAGTCCATAACTTTGGGAAATATTGGAATATAAACTTTGTAGGAAATGGTGACTGAATTCTGAGTGGTGGGTAGTAATACTGTTATGGTTAATTAGATAGAAATTTCTTAGGTGTTCAATGTTTATTACTTTTTCTACAGTCACTGAAGACACTACGTAATTCTGACTTGAAGCCATATATTATATTTGTTGCACCACCTTCACAAGAGAGATTACGTGCTTTATTGGCCAAAGAAGGGAAAAATCCAAAGGTAATATATCTAACACTTATTCTGAAGCCATTCTGCTTTTTTACACGTATGGTTCTGGAATGCTTTTGGTGAACAAATTCATATGCTCTTTTTTTGGAGTTGGATGACGGCATGGCACTGACAATACAGAGGAGGTGGTTAGTCGGATCTCTGCTCCAGGCTAGTAAGCAGACTACGCTAGCTGAACGTGAGAAATGTGGGCCAAGAGAATCCAGTTGCCTGGGGCCCAGTTAATCCCTGCATTTGGGTACAAAAATGACATTTAATTTCAAAACTGCAGAAAATATGACTTCATGTTCAAGGTAACCTGGGAATGATTCTAGGGAGGAGTTTTTTTCCTCTTAGAATTTATCTGGCCTTGGAAAAGCACTTACTTAAAAAATGTATTCTGAACCTCTTCAGATAAAATTATTTCTGTGCTTGATCCTATATGATCATTTCTCAGGTTTCATGTCAAGATCTCAGTTTACCCAGTTCAGATCAATTATTTAAATGCAAAGCTAGCATTGACAGAATTGGCACCTGCAAATTAAACCAGGATGTTTGAAAGCTCAGAAAAGGTCCTTTTTAATTTATGGGGCACAAATTGCATCAACCACAGCAACCCTAGGCAACTCTACAGGTTTTGGGCAGAATGGCTGGAATGAAGACAGTATGGAAGAAATGGACCTGGGGGTGTTGGTCAATGCTTGGCTGAACGTGAGCCTGCAGTGTGCCCAGTGGCCAAGAAGGTCAAGGGTATCCCAGCGTGTATCAGTAGTAAGTGTTGCCAGCACACATACAATAACACCCTGTTCTTTATTTGCAGCCAGAAGAGTTGAGAGAAATCATAGAGAAGACGAGGGAGATGGAACAGAACAATGGTCACTACTTTGATACAGCAATTGTGAATTCTGATCTTGATAAGGCTTATCAAGAGTTACTTCGGTTAATAAACAAACTTGACACAGAACCCCAGTGGGTACCCTCTACCTGGCTACGATGAAAGAGAATAATTCCAGGGGACAAATGGACTTCAGTTTAGAAATCATTCTAAGATTGCGTGTAGGTCTGCCCAGTTATTAGGTAATAAGTGTCTGAGCTCTGGACCTCGTTGGCTGCATCCTTTACAAGTGAAATTAGGTATTATTGAAAAAAACAACAACATTTAAAAAAAAAAAAGCCACTAATCAGCTTGAGAGCTGATTTAACTGTTCTAGAGGTTGTCCAAATTTTCTTTTTCTGTGGTCCAGAAATGGAGACCTTGTCCGTACTAAATTCTAAAGCTTTAGATTTTTCTAGCAACAACTTTTATACATAAATCCTCTTTTTTCTACCTAGTCACCTTTAGGAAAGCAAAGATTTTAAGTGTGTCTATTTGTATATACAGTCCACATTGTCACATAGTTATAAATATGAATGTTATTTAACGCTTAACTTAATGACTTCATGGGACATGGCTGTAGTTTAGGAGTGTAATTCTACAGATCGTTGGGCAGAGAAATAATCTGCATGTGAAAAATGTGATTAATGAGAAATCTGTCCTTATAGAAAAATTGAAGAACAAAGATGCCACTCTGGTCTGGAGCTGCCTGGTGAGGCTTGAGTTTATATTCTAATTCTAAAAAACATTCCACTTCCTAATAGCACTGTAATTGGAAAATGTGTATAATGTAAATATTTCAATCCTTACGTTGTCTTAGGCAGACTTTTTAATTCTGGGTTGACTGCACATTAATTTTAGGTCCAGTTAAAGATGAATTATATTGATCTTTTAGATGTGATATTTTTATGGAATTTTCCTTGAAACATCGGCTGATTGGAGCCGCTGTTCTCCACAGATTGTAGAGATATTTAGGAAGGCAGAGATTATATTTTTATGAAAAATATGTAGTTACAAAACATTTTTTGGAAGTCAGCTGAAGTTCTCATGTTTTATAACAGAATACTGGCTAAAATAGGCTGATGTGCTGAACATTGGAAGATAAGTGGGTTTTGTAATCTCTGCGAATGGCTCGTTTTGTGGCTGTTGCTCTAACAGATAACTAACTGGAATTAAAATAGCTGAAGGTAGCTATTGTGTTATAAACGAGTATTGTAATTCATTAGCCAACATATTGTCCTGCATTTGCTCACTACTGCAGTAAAAAAATGTGTGAAACACTGGTAACTGACTGAGAAGTCGCAACAAGGTGGAATACTTATTAAAACAAATAACTTGAAATGAGTGAATAGAAGGCAGAGTCTGTATCCTAGTCTGTGCTCTGCGAAACAGATCAAATCACCTCTGCATCTTCAAATCTGAGCTATGACATTAGTTAACTACAAAGGCTGTGTCTGCAGTGGGGGGAGTTCTATTGCTGAAGCTAACTGAATATTAGTTTCTTGGCTGTTTGAGTTTAGGGTAGCACAGCCCTTGAATGTGAATATCTGTTAATGTTAGCTATGGTGTTTATTACTTCCTACAGGTAAAACATGAGTTATGTCAGTTCGTAGTTCACTCCTGTCTAATGCTAAAGGATTTAACAAGTAGTTGATTTTTTTCCATACTGTCTTGCATATATTCAAGTTCTAATGGAACAAACTCATACCTGTAGCTGAACAGAGACCTCCAACTGTATGGGGAATATAAAGAAATTGTAAAATAACATTTCTAGTTAGTGAACTAACATTTTGTATTGAAAAATTAGAGTGTGCTCCTGTCCTGCTACAAAGCAAAATTATTTGCTGGTTTAATATTTAGGGCTGAGAAGCAATTAAAGAGATAAGTAGTGACCCTTCAGGAATAAAAAGGGGGGGAGGATTGCAAATTCCATGTTAGGAAAAAAAATGTAGCGTTCTAGATGTTGATGTAAGAACTAGGTACTCAAATTGGTAGGTTTTTTGCCTCATGCTGCAGGCACATTTTCAGTTTAATCCATGGTTTGAAAACTACAGTGTTCAGGTATATTGAATGTTTCATAGGTGACAAAGTACTCTTACCAATTCTACCCTTTTTCTTTTTAAGAAGGTTGTTGATCTATTAGTATCTTTGGTATTGGCTGTGTCATTGTGGGACAAGAAGGTGCAAAGCTGTAAAATTTGTTGCTTAAGGGTAACTTAGCTACACAGATACTGTCCAAATTCCTGCAGCCACAATCAGCTTGAGAAGGTTGCTGAAACCCCCTTATGTATTCAGTGTGGTAGCCAGTGTCAGTCTCAGTAATTGCTGTTAATGTCTTTGATGTTTTTCTCTCCAGTTTCTCTGAAATGTTGTACAGAGGCTGTTTGTAGAGCAATAAGTTCTTGAATGTAGACTTAAAGAATGTTGAGGTTCAGCTCTACTCTTAATTCCCAAGGCACACAGTACTTACTGATATCCATATAATGAGGTGCTATAATATTTATAACCAGTGTTAACTGTCCTGCTAAAGGGCTTTGAGCAGCACTAAGAAATGTACTTGGCTATCCCATCCTGCCATCAGTTTGGATCTGGAACTACCTAGTATAAGAAATTTCTCTGCCTTTTTTACTATTTTTAACACAGATTGTGTTTATTCCCTTGAGAGTAAAAGAGAATACGCAAACTTCATTGGTGAAACACTTTATCATGGGCCTTGTAGTGAGCTGTATCAGACCAAAATGAAGGTAATCTGCATTTTTATCAGTCCAGATTTAATTAAAAATAAACATTAGATGAATTGCGTAAAATTTTTGAATGTAATTACCTGTTACTTAAAATGTAGGGTGGGGGTTTAATGCCTTAATTAAGGTAATTTTATTCAGACCTGTGGTTAGCCCCACATTGTACTTTTATATGTGTATCTGCACTCTGTATTTTGAGACATCATGAACTGCACACTAATGTAAAAATGTAAAATATTTCTAGATTTAAAATAAATCACTGTACAATTTTATTACTGTAGTGAATCTTACTCTACTTACTTACAGCTGCTGCCTAATTTACTTAATCACTACTTCATTTCTGGTAAATTCAAAGGCTTCATCAGTCATCACAATTCATCACATGCTTTAGGTATCCGTAAGTTGTCTTGATGTGATACATTTTCACAGGGACATGTCCATCATCTTGTTTGTAAGCCACAGAATTTCATGTGTCAGAATGCAGTGAGTTCCAGAATAAAATTTTGTTTGCTGATTTTTGGATCAGCGTCCACTTTATACCAACTTGAACCCACCTTCAGCTGAATTCTACTCCAGGTAAGGCAATAAACTGCTATACAATAAACTGCCATCTGTAGAAGTAGCAGGAATGATACTGTTACAAAGCTCTTCGTCTAAACAGGTGCAAAAAAATGGCTGTTCAAACAGCATGTACAGCCTTTTCAATGCTATCATTAGGGGGCTCAGAGGAAAGAAGGTTTACTTGGCAATAAACATGGTTACCCAGGATATTGAGGAGGCTGAGGTATTAGTGACTGACAGTGCACTGGCACAGGCTACCTGGAGAAGCTGTGGGTGCCCCATCCCTAAAGGCATTCAAGGCAAAGTTGGATGGGGCTCTGAGCAACCCAATCTCTGGTGGGTGGCAGTCCTGCCCACAGCAGGGGAGATGGAACTTGGATGGTCTTTAAGGTCCCTTCTGACCCAAGTTGTTCCGTGTTTCTGTTAAATCAACATGACAGTTTCCAAGCTTTTCAGACAATCATCTTTTAGAATCAGGAGCCAGGCATAACGTATTCAACAGTTAGAACTTTTACTCATTTCTAGTACAGACAGTGCACAAGTTGGCAGAATCTCTAATTAGAACCATATATGTTTTAGGCCAGTGGTAACGATCGTGCAACAGAAATAAATCACAGAAGACTATGGATTTCATCAACAGGTTAGAAAACCAGAGCTGTCTACACTCACATTTTACTTCAGTTGTGCCAGTACCTGCCTTAAGTAACTTTCACGTTAATTCACATTTTAGAGATAGAGAACAGTGCGTGAATCTCTCTCCTTAAATAACATTTCCCACTGCTTGTAGTAGCAAAGGAAGCAATTAAAAAGGAATCTGACCAGGCAAATCCAGAGATGTCCTCTAAAAAGAACAGCTGTGGACAGCCATTCCTATTATGTGAAGAAGCAGGCTGAACACATAACAGAAGGCCTTCCTGATATTAAAGCACCTTATTCATCTCTCCTTTTCTTCCGAGTTCCCAGATTTCTAATCTCCCAGGAGAAATCCACAGTCTGGTCAACTCAGGCTTATACACCAAACTGAGAAGCCACATAAATATGATTGAGGCAATGTCCCAAATTATACAGTAAACGGGCATTCTGTATTTTGGGTCCCCTGCTCCAAATGCAACAACTTCATCAGGTTACTCAAAGAGAAGGTCTTCATCCTTCTCTTCTGCTAAGAGATTGGCTGGTTCACGTTCCCCACCAGCAGCCCTCCGCAGCTCCCGTTCTTTCTCAGATTTTTCTTTCAGTACCTTTTTCTTTTCCTGGATCTTCTTTAACCTGTGAAAAGAAATGTGGCATATCTGTGAAAGCGACATGATGTTTCTATAAAACAGACCAACAACAAAGATGCCATACATATTGGCTGTGATAAAGCTGCCTGGAGAAGTTCACGAGGAAATTATCACTAGATGCTGCCCTTAAACAACATTCATCATCTCTGCAGATGTACTTATTTACCCAAATTCTAAATGACATTCTTGACCATAAGCAAGTGTTGTATTATACTACTCTGCTCTTCTTGAATGAAGGCAATTTACATTTGTGTAATTTCAACTTTGACATCTATCTTTTTCCTAGAACGTTAGCTGCTGTAGTAGAGGTGTCCTTAAAGCAGAAGAACTCAGAGTACTGTATTCCATCATTCCCACGGGAGGAAAGATGAAGACAGCTACGTACAACCTAGTGGTAGAGCTACATATGAAACTGCGACAAGTAACTGCAGCTCTTCAGTTGCCCAGCTCTGGAAGCTCAGTGCACAGTAAGAATAGTGTTCTTTGCCTCATTTCTTGAATAATTTTCTGCTGTCCACTCTGAGGTACAGTCTATTTGAGAAAAAGAACACTGTGGTCTTGTTTTACATAGTTACCTGTAAAATTCCTCTCGCTCTCTTTCATCCAGTTCTGTGATGATATAGGAAAGAGTACGCTCGATCCTGGGAATAATCACTAAACAAATATAAATCAGGAATTTAATGGACCACTGCTATATTACCTGGGAAGTTACCAGAATGCAGTGCACAAAGGATTATTTAAAGTTATTCTAGTAATTCTTAATACCAAGGCTCTGTGGATGCCCACTCTGCCACCCCATCCAAATATAATAAACACATTGCCACCTTTCTACTGAACACCACCATCAAA